TATATATATATATATATATATATATATTGTTAGACATCCTATGTACCCATTCATAGTTTTCATTTTCTGTTGAAAACTAAAATTTGACCAAAAAATTTTTTCGGAAGACTGAAGTTAAAAGAAGCGGAATAACTCAGATAAAGTGAGACTGTTGCTGCTGTTACTGCTTTGATTTAGTCAGAACACTTATCGACAACACAATAGCCATAAACTTTTCTTTATCCTTCCTCTTCTTGCCCTCATATCGCTCATCTTTTTATTTTTTGTCTCACAATCCTCCCGATTCCCTGTTTGGGAGAAGGCGTGAAGAATCCAAAAGAGAAGAAAGCGACTGTTTGTTCTTCCCCTTTGCATTGCTGATCCAGTACCCGTAATTCTATGGGTTTCAGCAAAAAATCTCAAATCTGGGTAATCAAACCTTTGTTCCAGATGTCACCTTACTGCCGTTATCGAACGGCGCAAACTTGAAACAAACAAGCCAGAAAAAAAAAACTGAAGCACATATAAACTGCAGAAAGTGTGCAACTCAGATAAAATCCAAATCTAAAACTGAGTTCACGGAACAAAGCGTAACCGCCCTAAGTGCATGAAAGAAACAAAATTGAATTTTGGAGCCGAACAACAATGCATAATGAGAAACAGATATATCCCACAAACGACCACTAACTAAGTCTCCAACAGTATTTGGTAGCTTAACGAAAACAAGCGACAAATTTCCGGTGAACAATAAAGTTGCTGGCGTCTCAACACGTCAACTGACAACTTAGGCTGGGAACTCTGTGCCGATTCTACAGTAACGACGTGATTAAGCGACACCGCGTTCACTTCGTCTGTCTTCGGCAACCGCGAATTCAGAAGTGCGATTAATTGTAGCCTAGTTATCGTCATCATCAACTTTGGCATCCAGTTTTTGTAAACATTCCTCAAAAAAAGAAAAAAAGTTTAACTGAAGTTGTTGTTATTTCTGTGGATCGTTATGTCACTGCTGCTACACAACTATAGTTCCACTATATATAAATACATAAAACAAACTTATATATATGTATATATAGAAGCTGTTATTGCCGTACAGCAAGAAAGTAAATGTTTCTGATTTATAGGATATGAGAGTTATTTTTTTTCTTTCCAATTTCAAAACAAGCAGGAAATTTTATTATCCGTTGAATTACCAGACAATACAGACAGAGTTTTCTTGCTTCTTTCTCTTTCATAGATTTAAATATTTTACGAAAAGAAATATCTTTGCTTTTTTTGTGGAAACAGTAATAGCACTAGAAAAAAGTTTGCTAAAATAACACAATTACAGTCTTCTCTTTTTTTTTTTTTTACTTTTTTGCTCTTCTTCTCTTTCTTCTTCTTCTATTTTCTTTTTTTGATTTTACCTTTTTTTCTTTTAAATCACTTTTTCTTTTCTTACGGTTCTTGGCTTTTCTTTACTATTTTTCTTAACCATACGTTCAACGCAGGTGCGATAATCTGTTACCGTTGTTTTCAACTCTGTTTTTCTTTCTAGTTTTTCCAGTCGTTCTTTGGAAGCCGCTGCGTTTGTTGTTAATACAACAGACAAAAGGAAAGCAAGAATTTTTTTGGCTTTTCTTTTATGTCTCAGAATGAAGAAGAAAAAATAAGTAGCTGAACGAATAATGTTAAATGCAGACTTGGCTGTGACTTTTTACTTCAACTTTCTGCTTTTCCACAGAGCCGTATAGAATTTGATTAAGATACTTTTCTTATACATATGACAAACTTATATAAATATAGCTATAGATATAAATATAAATGTCAATATATATATATATATATATATATATATATTTACTTATTTATTTATAAACGCAGAACGTCACCGATGTACGACACCAGAAATTTTTACTTAACTCAGTATTTATTTTTTAAAATTGCAACTTTTTCTTAATTTAATTTTCTTGAGAAATTTAATGGTAATAATTTTTGTAAGAAGTTTTCGTTGATTTATTCAGCATATTTTTGGATTGTAGAAAGCAGAAAGAATCAGAGTTTTTATGCACAAATATGACATTACCGTAATTGAAATCGGTTCTCACTGAACAGTATCAGTGGCGTCAGCAGTAATTTCGTGAAAAAGACTTTGAATATTTTTAGTGTTCATTGCAGAAAAAAATAATTGAAATCAACCAAATAGAACCAAAAAATAAATCTGAAGAATAATGAAGAAAAAAAGAAGTAAATCATTCTAGCTTAGATAAAAAAGAAAACATTTCTGTTGTAAACTAATACATCATCAATAACCGAAAGTTTTAGATGAACCCACTGAATACAGATACAATTTTTTTAATGCTGTTTAAACAGCAAGTAAAGTGATTAATCTCTTAAAACAAATAATATATTTCAATTTTTATTAGCTTACTGAATAGCAAAAAAAAAACTTTGTTATTTTTGTTTTATGCACATTAATAATAAAACAACATTCTTTCGTGTTCTTTTTTTTTTACACCAATTTTTCTCTTCAAATAGAACATTGATGTAATAAGACCTTAAAAAAGCAGTTAGTTGTTGAGTTCTGTTTAAGGTTATTTTTCTTGTTTTATACTACATTTTTTTTTTTTTTTAACTAGCTAACAACCAACGATAACAGTAAACTAAACCAACGAAAAACAGTAAAAATTTTGCACGTGAAATTTTTTTGAACATTGTCGACCTGCTGAGGCCGATATCTGCAACAGTTATGTATGACGGAAACGAAAGTTGACATTGCTAACCAAATGGAATTTATTCTATAGCAAGTTTTAGTCTCGACAAAAGTAATCGTTTATGCAGTTTCCTGCGAACATTTCTCATTTTACGTGCCCAGTGTTCAAACTGTTTCTGCATGTTTTAATCAGCCTAAGTTGGAAACATTCTCTAACACTATGCGAATTATTGTTTGTTTAACAATAAAAATGTCTTTAAACTATAATAAAAAACACTTAGAAAAACCTGACCAAGTTAAAATTATTCAGCAATCAAAATTTGCTTTTATCCCTAACACATTTCTTCTTTTCCTCTCCCTCTTCCAGCTTAGTCATCTCAGTACATTCAAAACCCTTATGTTCAATTAATAAAGTCTAATTTTTTGAAGTTATAAAGACAGTTGCATCTTTTTTGCTCCACGCATCGATTTTGATTAGTCTGAAAAAAAAGAAGTTAAAAAAATTGGATAAGAAACACAGATTTATATTCGGTTTTCATCACAGAATTGGAAACAGAGCAGCAGTAATGGCGGAAGATTATTGCAAAATCTTACATTCAAAATAAAAAAAAAAACAACTGATATAAACCAAAAAAAAAAAACGATATGAACAGATGTTAAACTAAAAAAAGTGAAAGAAAAGATATTTATATAAATAAATATATACATATATTTAATATTTATTTATATATATGTACATTTACGCTTTAACTTTTCTGTTTGTTTTGTTCACTTTTATTTGATTACTTTTACTATCCTTACCCCTCAGTCGGTAGTACTTTTCTCTGAAAAAAAAAGTTTTTCTAAGGAATTGTTTTTTTTTGTTTTGTAGATAAAATTGTGTAAAGAACCATTGAAAGAAATGAATGAAAAAAGCGCAGTTTTATTTTTCAAATTTTACAATCTATAAAGTACTATAAAGTGAATCTATTTTTCATCATTTTTGTTTGCTTTTCATATAGTTAAAGTCATCTTTTTTGCTTCTTTTTTCTTTTCAATTATTTCTTGCTGGGGTTAGCCTCAACTAAGTTGTTGAAAAATATTGCATGTTTAATAGGTAGTTGAACTTGGCATAGCATCTGATTTCTGGTCAATAAAAACATGTTTTCTCAACAAAATACACTGCACCGAACGAATCGACGTATATTCGTCGATTTCGGCAACCTCCTTTGGCCAACACTATCGTATTTTGCTGCAGTAGCAGCTTTTTTGCTAAAACTTGATCACCAGGTGAAAATAGAAGGAATGGCCAAACGACCTCTGTACAGCAGTGGTTTTATTAGTCATAAACGAAGAGCTCATCACGTTACACTACATGATCATCATCATCATCATCCTAATCCTCCTCATCATCAACAGCATCATCATCATCAACAACAACATCATCATCAGAAGTCCGGTACAGCATCAACATCGTCATACAGTAGCGGTGATCATCAGTGTTGCAGCAGCAGCAGGAGCAGTATCGCCGATACAACTGCTTTAGCTGTTGTTGGTCGAATTCTGACGGTCAACGAAGAAACAGCGAACGATGACAATGGTGACGGTAGTTGTTCACAATTTGAACGAATATCGGCAACGAACGTTAGCTGCGAATGTTGTCGTTTATCGGTTTCTGACTTTTATTACTTTATTGCACTTTTTTTTTCCTCTTTTGTTCAGTACACTTAATTAATTATTTAGTTAGAAAAAGAAAAAGATAAAAATAAATTTTATGTTTATTTTAACTTTTTATGTTTTATCAATATTTATTATTACATAAACTACTTTTTTCCTTTATTAAACTAATTAAACATTTTCCCTCCCAAAAAGTTTTTTTTTTTTTCTAATTTCATTTTTTTTCAAATAAAGTGTAAGATTAAAAGTTCGAACAAGTGAAAAAAAAAAAAGAAAGTTTCACTCAGCACTTTCGAAAAACTACTTAATTCAATGAATTGAACTATTTCTAGTCAGTTATTTAGTTCCTGCTTTATTTTTGACACCGGTCATCAGTTATTTCTTTTTGCGCTTTTTCCTTTTCACCATCAAAAAGAACTGCCAGAAAAAAAAAAGAAAAAGTATAACTGCTATTTAAAAATGATGAAACAATAGAGGAATAAATATAAAAATCAATCGGTTTTTTTTTTTTCTTCAAATTTATATGTTTAATCTTTGAAATTCAAATGTGAAGTCATTAATAACAGGAAAAAAAAATAGAGATATTTGCTAGAAAAAAAAAAAATTATAAAACATAAAATGACTGCATTATCATTACTGTCAGTAATTGTTGCTTTTTTTTTAACATTGAAACAAAAAAATAGAAAGGAAGAAATAGCAACAATATTTAATGTTTTAGAAATTTGCAGTTAGATTGATTTATCAGTTGTTTTCTTCTTTCTTTTCTTACTGAGCTAAGTTTTTTTTTTAGTTTGATTTTCTGTTAGTTTTATTGCTGCTAATGCTGTTGCTTGAAAATTTCCAAAAACTAAAGAGTGAAAACTATCTGAAGTATAGTTTGATATTTAGTTGTATTAAAAATGAAGGGAATGGAAACGGAGTGGAAAAGGAGGAAGAAGAAGAAGAAGAGGAAGAAGAAGAAGAAGAAGGGTGGAAGAATGAAGAGAGGTGAGGCGAGAAGAAAGGGGAGAAGGAGGGGAGAGGAAAAAAAAAAAAAAAACAAGCACTTTGTAATTTAGTATTATATATGCAGTTGCCAACGTTCAAAAAGGCAACGTAATGTGATTAGAAGTGTACTGGAAAAAACTAAGATATAAAAAACAACAAAATGGCCAAAAAAAAAAAGCACCAGAAAAAACAACAGAACTAAACGTTTCGTGGTTTTTATAGATTACTTAAAAATTAAGTTATAAAAATTGTTTATCAAAACTTTTTTTTTGAGAAAAAAGGAATGGCTTTTTTTTTCTGCTATTTGGCCAAACTTTTTTCTGCGGTTTTTTCTCTTTTTTTTTTTTTTTTACATTTATCCTTTTTTCTTTCTTTCTTTCCTCTTTGTAAGTATCACATATATATATATATATGTATATTTTTAAAAAGCTATAACTGTTCATCTTTTTTTTCTGTTTTTTTTTTTTTTTGGTGAAGAGGTTTTTTTGTGAAAGAGGTAGAAGAGAAGAGGGTACGAGAAAATAAGACAGAGGACCGGAAGGACGAGGAGAGGGAAGAGGAATGAGGCGGAAAATTGGGTAGAGGAAGACAGGATAATAGGCGGCAAAATGCTTTGTAAAATATGTCGTTCAAGTTGTTCTTTTTTTTTTTTTT